TCTTTCTACTTTGTGGACTGGTGTTGGATATGGGTTAATGTTGGACTTGTGGGCTTGGGCAGCATTGGGTTGGGATGTTTTCGTGATGCACATTTTCTTTGCATAAAACTCTCTCTCATACTTGAGTTGCTGTGGATTTGTTTCTCCAAAGTACCTAGACTAATACATCATGTTCTTATTTTTTGCACAAATTGACTCTCTTGACTTCAAGGTGATAAGCCTCAGAAATTATTCTAAAAATGATATGAAACTACTTGTGTAGCAGTTAGGAATACATGGTTTGGGTTTGAATATCTGTTCTATCTTTTTCCCAGTGACGAGTTACGTCTGGGCCACGAGAAGGAACCCGCCTTTGGGGATTACGTGGCTGTAGCCCGAGGAAACAAAGATCACAATATTCGCGCTCAAGTCATGGCGAGTGGACTTTCAGAAGAAATTCAAGTAAAATGCTTGATTGACCAGGCAACAGACCCCAATATCCTTGGCAGAACTTGGGAAGGATGGGAGCCCTGGATGTGACGTGTGTAGGAGTAAGCAGACATAAACCATAAATTGCTAAAAGAATCTTCCCAAAATTTTCTTGTACACCAGGTTTTCAGATTGGCCTCCAGCTTTTTATTGTTAGTCTTTTATTCAGACTTTTATATTTGGAAACTTATATATGTGATTTGGGGCAATAAATGGTCATAAAAATATGGAATAATAGTTTTGACATTTAAAAGACAACATTAAAATTTAAAAGTTGTATATTGTTTTCATATCGTTTCAAGGGCTTACTGTTCGTCTTACAAAAGAATTCATTGTGGTGGTGGTGTTGGGGGCCGCATCTCTATCGACTCTGAATGACTCTGTGTGCTGCAGAACAAACACTACCTGTTCCTGCACCATCCTCTCAACCATTCCCATGTGGGAGCCCATGGGTGGAGCCTCTGTGTCCCTCGTCCATTCAGGTCTTCCTCTTGTTGCTGACCTCCACTTTACAAAGCGAAAAGCCCTTCTCCAGGAGCTGGACCTCTTGAGACCGTGTTTCAAACACAGACGGCGGTTTTGTGATCCTCACTTCTTTCTCTCTCAGTTGTGCCGACTTTAATAGAAGTTGTGTGCAAGACTATTTTACTCTTGCAGCTTCTCAGGGGATTCTGCCCCGTGTTTGCCCCTTTTTTCTCCTGCTGAAGGAGATTTGGCTTCTCTTTGAGGAGCTGTTTTGCGGTCCTTGGCCACTTTCAGCCTTAGGGAGGACCGAACCGCTGTGCCTGAGCTTTCTCTTGCTGCGCTGGTCCATCGAGACGACGTACTTCTTCCTGGGAACCTGGGCCACTGTGCCAATTTGCTGACCTTTGTAGTGTCTCTGCACAACCTGAACGTCATCATTTTTGCAGATGGGCATGCACCGAACTACGTATTTCTGTCTCAGTTCCTTGGAAAGGGGGAAGTCGTAATCTTCCTGTGAACGTGGGAAGGTGCGTTGAAATGCCTCTTCTGGATTTTGCTTTGGTCTGAAGTCACAAAGGGATTGAACTTCATTTTGGCAGCTGCTGCTTCAGCAGCAGCCCCCAAAGGGAAAAGTGTTCCTCACTTCTAACGAGCAAGAAGGGTAGACTTCTTCCAATACAGATTTATTTTTCTAGCAGTCTATGGTGTATGCAATATATTTTATCAACCCCCAGAAGGCAAAGGTTTCAATTACTCCTCATTTTCCTTATGCGTTACCCAATGGTATTAGACCATTGACAACACCGCGACTGCATCAGGCCTCCTCACAGTGACAGTTTTACTTGTGAGTACTTTAAAGAGGTCATTTCTAGCAGCTGTCCCCAATGTAACGTGATGTTTGGTTTCTTTTTCTTGTTTACCTTTATATTGTGAATTGGCTGAAGTCTTACGGAGCACATCAGTTTTCCATTTAATAATCTGCACAAATGTTGTTTCTTATCATGGCTTGCAGTCCCCCCAGTGTACATCTTTTATCCCAGTTCTTTCCTGTGTTTCCTGTGTCCATTCCTTCTTGCCTAACCCCTCTGATCTTTCTCCATGGGTAAATGCTGTCCTTTTTGTCTCAAAATGCCTGTTATTCAAGGAGTGCATACCTCCCTAGTGTAATTGTTAATCTGTTGTTGTTGTTGTTGTTTTGTTG